TTTTTTTTTTTGAGACTGAATCTCGCTTTGTCACCAGGCTGGAGTGCAGTGGCGCAATCCCGGCGCACTGCAACCTCCACCTCCTGGGTTCAAGCGATTCTTCTGCCTCAGCCTCCCAAGTAGCTGGGACCACAGGCGTGTGCCACCACACCCGGCTAATTTTTTTGTATTTTTAGTAGAGATGGAGTTTCACCGTGTTGGCCAGGTTGGTCTCGATCTCTTGACCTTGTGATCCGCCCCCCTCAGCCTCCCAAAGTGCTGGGATTACAGGCATGAGCCACCATGCCCGGCCACTATTACTAAATCTTGATTGACTATCACAAAGAAAGATTTTGGAAATGGAACTAAAAATGCTCTCATGCCTGTACAAGGGATGCTTTAACATGCACCTTCTTATGCTTAAAAATGGAGACAGCGAGACAGACAAAGAGGCAGAGGGAGAGACAAAGGGGCGGAGAGACAGAGGGAGACATAGACGGGGAGAGATAGAAAGAGAGCTCTTCATGAGGTTTGAATGGACAGTAACTCCTAGTCAGCGTGTTCACTGAATACTGCTTCTGCTTTATCATTACCCTCGTACTTAAGTTTCACATGACTTTTTCTCTTTTTAAGGCCTGGTCAAAAAAAGAGTTCACCAACCAATTTTTCCAAACTCATTAGCAATGGTTATAAGAATGAGTGGCTGCAGCAGCAGCGAACTGACTCAGACCAGAGGACCCCGAAGACATCCGGGGCGTCATCGTCATCTCAGTCCTCACGAGACCTGGAAGGTCCCCAGGAGGCAGCAAGGCTCCAGGATGCAGAAGGCCCTGAGGATGCCCCAGGTGAGGTGCAGGTGGCCATCTGCGTTTACCGGAGGCTTGGTTCTTTGTGATACAGCAGCTGACATTCTTATCACATGATGCATCTCGTAAGGAGAAATGAGTAACCCAAAAACCATGTGAAAAAGCCCACAGAAATACTATGGTTGCAGGGCCCGGCGCGGTGGCTCACGCCTGAAACTCCTAGCACTCTGGGAGTCCGTGACAGGCCGACCACGAGATCAGGAGTTCGAGACCAGCTTGGCCAACATGGTGAAACCCTGTCTGTACTGAAAATACAAAAATTAGCCGGGTCTGGTGATGGGTACATGTAATCCCAGGTCCTTGGGAGGCTGAGGCAAGAGAATTGCTTGAACCCGGGAGGCCGAGGTTGTAGTGAGCAGAGACTGCGCTATTGCATTCCAGCCTGGGTGACAGAACAAGACTCTGTCTCAAAAAAAAAAAAAAAAAAAAGAAAAGAAAAAAAGAAATACTATGGTTACAGATTAGCCTGAGAGTAATACTTGTTTTGCTCTTTCCTCTTTATTCAGATGAACAGCAGAAGTCATGACTTTTGGGGCTTTATATTTCCTTTTATTTGTCCAAAATTTTGATAGTCCATTTGATATAACAAACAAATAATATACCAGCTAATATCAATTTCTAAGCTTCCAGATCCAAAAAATTTTGACCCTAAAATGCTTCTACTTTTGCATAAGCAGCTGGTCCTTTCTGAGGTCACTTCTTAGGAAGCCTTCATTCTTTGAAAATAAGTCAAAATTCAAACTTAAAATTACTCCATTATTGGCATGTCTTAAGCTTTGAATAATTTAGAACATTCTCTGTAATTAGATGTTCAAAGTACTGTATTAGTTTTTATTTTATTATAATATTTTATTTTATTTTTTGAGACGGAGTGTTACTCTGTTGTCCTGGCTGGAGCGAAGTGGCAAAATCACAGCTCACGGTAGCCTCGACCTCCTGGGCTCAAGCGATCCTCCCACCTCAGCCTTCCAAGTAGCTGAGACTAAAGGCATGCATCACCACACCCAGCTATTTTTTTTATTTTTCATAGAGACAAGGCCTCACTATGTTGCCCCGGCTGGTCTCAAAGTCCTGGGCTCAAACAGTTCTCCTGCCTCTGCCTTCCCAATGTACTGAGATTACAGGTGTGAGCCACTGTGCCCAGCCATTCATTTTTATTTTTAGTGGTTACAGAAAGAATTCCCCTTATTTTTTCAACACATCCATTTTAAAGCCTATTTTGCATTATGTTCAGTATCCACAGCTCTATTAATTATTGACCAATTGCCTCTGGGAAACTTGTTTTTACTATTGAGGCTTGAGTTCTTTGATTAGGAGGAAAGACGGCGTGTTGTACCTCTGCAGACAGTTGAAGTGTTTGGTGGGGTTATTTGTAAGTGAGGTCATGGCTTGCCATTCCACACCCACTTCCTTACTGTATTTGCTGAGCAAGATCTGCCACTTACTGGCTAACTCTCTCCTTCATTATACTGGAGGATGAGATGGTGACATGTTCATATGCAGTGTTGTAAAAAGTGCCCTACTGAACTTTACAATGTCAATAGTGTTTTATGACTTACTGCTGTTTTAATTAAATCTTTATGTAAATTATGACTTCTTTTAACACTTGATCTGTTTCATTAACCTGAATAACAAATGTACTTGTTCTTTATTACAGAATCTTCTCAAAGTGAGTATTTATGAAGTAATCTGCATCAAAACACAAAAGGTCTTACACAAAAAAATTCGATGGACATAGTCCTGCAATCTGAGACCGAAGCCACTCAGGAGCCTGCAACGTCCTTCTCCAAACTGCATGCATTCTGACTATAAAAGCCTGTGCCATACATGCTTTAAAAAAAATCAGTGTTGCCGGGCGCGGTGGCTCACGCCTGTAATCCCAGCACTTTGGGAGGCCGAGGCGGGTGGATCACGAGGTCAAGAGATCGAGACCATCCTGGTCAACACGGTGAAACCCCGTCTCTACTAAAAATACAAAAAATTAGCTGGGCATGGTGGCGTGTGCCTGTAATCCCAGCTACTCAGGAAGCTGAGGCAGGAGAATTGCCTGAACCCAGGAGGCGGAGGTTGCAGTGAGCCGAGATCGCGCCATTGCACTCCAGCCTGGGTAACAAGAGCGAAACTCTGTCTCCAAAAAAAAAAAAAAAAAAAAATCAGTGTTCCAGAAACATAGCTTAGGGGGAGGAAAAAAAGGACCACTCACATTATCACAACATGGTTATTATTCTTTTATTCATGTTACACAAGCAAAGACAGTTTAGTTCATAGACACGCATTGTATTACTCGCCATGTAAGAGTCATACTGGAAAAGATTAAGTAAAAGCCATGGGAGGCTTCAATTTATTTTTTAGTTTACCTTCTATTTTATTTTTGACAAATAATTGTATACAACTATGGGATGCAATGCAATGTTTTGATATATATATATATCTATATATATCCACATGTATACACACACACACACACACACACACACACATATATACACACA